CATCTCCCCAGCTGTCCTGCACCTCCACAGCTGTTCTATATCTCCCCAGCTGTTCTGCACCTCCACAGCTGTTCTGCAGCTCCACAGCTGTTCTGCATCTCCACAGCTGTTCTATATCTCCCCAGCTGTTCTGCACCTCCCCAGCTGATCTGCACCTCCACAGCTGTTCTGTATCTCCCCAGTTGCTCTGTATCTTCCCAGCTGCTCTGTGACTCCCCACCTGTTCTGCACCTCCGTAGGTGTTCTGCACCTCCCCAGCTCCTTCATGCACCCTCAGCTGTTCTGCCCCCACAGCTGTTCTGTACTTCCCTAGCTGTTCTTCACCCCAGATGTTTTACACCCTCACAGGTGCTCTGCCTTGTCAGCTTTTCTGCACACCCAGTTGCTTTTTTTACCTCCTAAGTGTTTCGTACCCACTCTGCTCTACACATCCAGGGTTCCTGCACCCCCTTAGCTGTTTTGCACCCCTTGTCCGACTGTAACCCCCAGCAGTTCCATGTTACCTGTAGAATATTTAGCCATCACCAAGCCCCCAGGTGACATCTCGGGAGATTCACAGCAGATGAGTGCAGGAACTGGGTCTTGGCCATGACAATCCTGTGAGCTTGCAGAGACAGCCTGCTTCTAGATTTCTCCCAAATGAACTGTTAAAAGTGATCTTCATCAGGGCATTTCCTCTGCTAAGCAGTATAGGCTCCAAGACTAAATTCTTAAGCCCATGTAAGTCAGTATCATCAAGGGACCTGGGGTCTTCCTGTAAGAATGGCTCTCTAGCCAGCATTGTCACCAATCCTGACCCTTAGGTGGACCCTGGGTAAATCCACCCAAGGGTCAAGAATGGACAGTCCATCGGAGAAGTCACCAAGAACCTTCTCAAGAGGACTTCATTTTGGGGAATCCAGGGGCCTCAGGGATGTATATGAACCATCTGCTGAAAGAAAACAAAACCAGAAGCCATGTGCTATCATCCTGACGAGGGGCAGGGGTGCAGTCCCAGGAAGCCCAGGCTCGGGGGCTTTGTACAGGATCCTAATCACCCACCACAGGACTTGCCTTGGCGGTCATCACCTGCAAATCACCCATGTCCCCATGGTGATGAATTGGATTTTTGGTACTGGGGGAGGCTTCTTTTCTCCTTTCTCCTCGGAATGGCTTGGTTTTAATTTTGGTGTTTACATTGCACTTCCCAGTTCCCGTCTCCATTGGGAGGATCGTGGTCTCCAATGTGACCAGCACAGGCTTCCACCTGGCATGGGAGGTGGGTCTCGCTCTGGGCTCTGCCTTCCAGCTCACTCTGACTTCTGCATGGAGCCCCACTGTGGTCCTAGAGACCTGGAACACGAGTGTGACCCTGTCAGGGCTGGAGCCTGGAGTCTTGCACCTGGTGGAGATCGTGGCCAAAGCATGCGGGAAAGAAGGAGCCAGAGCTCGTCTGAAAGTGAGGACAGGTAATGAGCTTCCATTTGTTTTTAAAGAGAGGAATAAAAGGTCTGAAAAAGACTTTCAGTGGGTTAAGGCTTAAGATATCTGGATTTGTTCATGGGCTGCTAGCTGTCATTGTTCCTCTCAGCTTAGGGATATCCGGCCAGCTTCATCCTCAGCAGGCATGCAGCAACATCCAGGTAGGAGGCAGCTTATTCAGGAAAAGGCATTAGGCAGCCTTCAGGAACAGGCAGAGGGCTGCAGGCTCACCCGTGTCCTCGTGGGGATGCAGCACAGAAGACACGTGCGGTGCCCGTCTGTTGAGCTGCACCCATTCCCTCTGAGCTCAACAGTCTCACAGGACTTGGCTTTCAGGGAAGACATCAACAGATAATCAACAGGCACAGAGATGATCTGTGAGCAGCCTGCTGGAGCCGGAGCCCAGGGCCACAAAATAAAGAACTGAGCAATAATGAATCCAACAGAGACTGCTGCATTGGAGCTGAGCAGTGACAATGTTACATGTATTTGGATGAAATTCCTATTTTTTCCATTAGCATTGCCACGTGGGTACCTTTCCTGAATAGTCAAGGCTGTGCCTGAGGTTGCAGGTCGGTTCTCACACCATCGGCAGCTTCCCAAGCTTGGCAGCAGTGATCTGTGCAGTGGGGTGCACACTCCTGAGGGAGGTATAAGATGGCCCATTGGGATGCAGTAATAAGAGTTTAGAACGTCTATGTATGTGCTTTAAAGCACTGGTCAGCCCTGGCCTGGGAAGTTATACAACAGATGGAGTGCATGGCGTTCATCGTGCAAGTTCACGGCCAGCCAGAGAGGAGGGAGATCAGTGCTGGCTGGGTGGTCAGGCACCGTGGCCCTGGCGTCTGAGAGCCGGAGCTGGGCCTCCGAAGGTCTCAGCTGCTCTGGAAGGGACAGGCTGCACGTGGGACCCCGAGCCTGCAGACACGTCTACACCTGCTCTCACCTGTGCGCCTGCCCTGCTGCTGATGGCTTTCAGACTGGGCTGCCCATGCCAGCTGTGGAGACTGAAGCAGAGGCCCTCAGGGGCAGCAACAGCAATGATGTCAAGGACGTAGAGTTCGGGGTTGGCCCAGGAATGCATAGCAGAATGGCTCTGTGGTTTGTCTTGAGCCTGAGTGAGAAACTCTGGGGAGATACACTCTAAGTCCCTGAGAGGAGAGCTGTGTCTTTCTCCTTCACTGTCTAGAATGCCTCTGGCACATGGCAGGTGCTTTGCAAATATCTAGAGGGACTGACTGAACACTGGCGTGGCTGTCATGCCAAGGCCAGGATGGGGTGGCGATGTTATGTGCCACATACTCCTAGAAACCCTCCATGGAGGGAAAAGATTCAGATGGAACAGGTGATACCAAAACAGGTATTGCCCATAGACCAGGGGAGGTGGGGCTGCTGGGGGAGGAAAAAGGGCTGGCTCTAAACAAGGCCCCTGGGCACCCTGTGGCCATATGAGCTCTGAGCAGAGACCTGGCGAGGGTCCTGAGTCCTGGTGTACCCGGGACAGCCCGGTTTGCACCTGTGGCCCTGGCAAAGTTATTTAATGGTGCCTCCACGTGCTCTAAGTCACGCCAGCTTGCTGGTAAATTGTTTGAACACCTCGGCATGGGTAACGGCAGCAAGGAAGGAAGGCTGAGTGTGTGTTGTGGAGAGAGTTGCAGATGCTGAGCTGGCTCTGGAAGGTTCTTCCACTGGGCTCAGGCTTTGTCCTGTGTCCTCCTGAATCTGATGGGCTGTCTCCCCGGGCCCCTGGCACTATTCCCTCCTTCTAGAGCACAGCCAGCCTTGGTGTGATGCTCTTCCCGGACGTGAGAATACGCTTTTTAAGACTGAAATGACAGTCTGTTATCGAATACATCGCCAATTCCAAATGTGCTTACCCTCCATCCTGCAGCGGCCCGGAAGCTCACTGGAAAGGTCAGAATCGCAAATATCGAGTACTCAGAATCCTTTGGTAACGCAAGCAGCCAGGAGTATCGACATTTCCTAGAACTGTTCTTCGCGACGGTGAGTTGGCGATATCAGCCCTTAATTCCTTTCAGGAGGGAAGGGGTGGAAGGCTGATTGAATTCTAGGCCAGGTGCCGTGGCTCATGTCTGTAATCCTAGCACTTTGGGAGGCAGAGGCGGCGTATTGCCTGAGCTCAGGGGCTCGAGACAAGCCCGGGCAACATGGCAAAACCCCATCTCCACCAAAAAAATACAAAAATTAGCCAGTCCTGGTGGCACATGCCTATGATTCCAGCTACTCAGGAGGCTAAGACAGGAGAATCTCTCGAACCTGGGAGGCAGAGGTTGTAGTAAGCTGAGATCGTGCCACCGCACTCCAGCCTGTACAACAGAGCGAGACCCTGTCTGAAAAAAAAAAAAGAATTCTAGTTTCATCCAACTAGGACTTTGACTTGTAGGTCCTATGAACTCCTCATTTCTGAAGGAAGCCAGGACTTTAAACTCTGGCCTGGCTCTCTGAGTGTTCCTGGGCCCTCCCTGGCAAAGACACAGTCAGCAGACACGACCCTTCCTCTGCCACATCCTTGCTTCACATGGTTTTCTGTCCAGTGAAACCTGTTTGTCAGTTGTAGAACTTATGAAGCAGAAAGTCCATCCTTGTTTTTTTTTTTTTAAAGCCTTTAAAAAATGAGGTCTATTTCATAGGCCATAAAATCTTCACTTTTAAACTGTAGAGTTCAGGAGTTTAGATTGTTTTGCAAAATTGTGCAGCTATCACCACTATCTAATTCCAGAACATTTTTGTCACCCAAAAAGAAACCTCACACCCATTAGAAGTTACTCCCAGCTGGGCACGTGGCTCACACCTGTAATCCAAGCAATTTGGAAGGCTAAGGCAGGTGGATCACCTGAGGTCAGGCATTCGAGATCAGCCTGACCAACATGACGAAACCCCATCTCTACTAAAAATACAAAAATTAGCCGGGCATGGTGGCACACGCGTGTAATCCCAGCTACTTAGGAGGCTGAGGCAGAAGAATTGCTTGAACTCGGGAGGCAGAGGTTGTAGTGAGCTGAGATCTCACCATTGCACTCCAGCCTGGGCAACAGAGCAAGACTCCATCTCA